TGCTTTTGCCTGTTTAATAGCGTCCATTTACATACCCTCACCCGGTCCATTCAATCATGACGCTGAAAATAGCTGCAAGCTGATATGCGGGTCGGTTCTCGATTTCCCACGCTCGGAGACAAATGAGAGCATTGAATCAGTAACGATAGTTGACAAATTTAGTTTAATAAAATAGGATTTTCTTTTTTTTTCAAAACTTTGGATTAATTCCCTTTTCAAGCTCTCAGACAGTTTTACTCGTACTTCAAACGACAAATTCTGACAATTTCAAGGGAAAATATCCATGAGTATTTCTTTTTAAAAAAAATAGGTTACGCCTCGTGACTGCTGCGCGGCCCACCAGTGGCGTGACGTGCTGAGCGATTCATCGACTGATCTGCCATTTAACCCTATGGAAAAGGATCGATATACAGGGTGTTCGCAACGAACACCTTAATAATCGATTCTTTACCATAGCTTCAAATGAGGAAATATCGATAATAGATCATTCACGCCACGCCTCCGAGGTCCATCGATACGAAATGCTTCGCGTCTCAGGCGTTTTGCGTTAAGCGTTGCTCGTCTGATTTTATATTGTAGAGTAAGATACGTGAAGTCAGGAAAAGTATATTTCGGAGACCGTAGTTGTTCAATGCAGCGGTAAAATTAGTTTCATGTCAAAAATTGATAGTATTTTGCAATCAGGAGCCACTATTTCTGGCTCATTTTCGAAAGAACATATCGACGGTGTAAGTCGGCAATCACATAACTCGTTTGCGGTGTCTGAAAATCTTCGCCTCAACGTTATTTTTTTAAAGGAGAAAAAATTGACATCATTCCCTCAAGTTTTTGCAAAAGTTTCCTCGCACAGAGAATAAAAATCACGGCAGTTTTAAGGAATTGCCGTTGAGTCGCTTACCGTTCAAAAATTAATGTATGACAGGAAGTCTACGACGTCGCAAACCGAGTTATGTGATTGCCGACTTACACCGTCGATATGTGCTATTATTTTCCTATGCGGAAAAGCGCTTCTACGGAAGGGCTAGACATTGTGGTTCCTTATTGCAAAGTGCAATCCAAATATCAATTATCGATCCTCGACGCTGTAAACTTTCTGACACTCTCAAAACCATCGGGTGAACGTTTCAATTAGGCCATTATGATCTCAATCAGTGATGTGAGCGTTTGAAATGAATCGCTTTGAAAACTGGCAAAAGCGCCTGCAAACTTTCTTTTTTCAAAACGCTCAAGCACTCTCAAACTTTGATTAGCTCTTAAAGAGGCAATTTTTGGAATTTTAAATGACTTTTGCACCAAATGATGCAGAATTAACCCCCTGAGTTGAACTTTTTCCTTTCATCTTACACACCGTCACAAGCAATGGATATTGGGTTAAAAGATTCCAAGATCCATTATATAACGCGAATGTGCTATCAAGCCATTTTTCAATCAATCACATTGCTACGTATTTCAAATGGGCGTATTTCTATCAAACGGAACTAGGTACCAATTTGAGTTCCTTTTGAGGAATTTAGAATCCCGGATAGCGCGTTCTGTCAAACGGACCTAAGCGCCATGGAAAAGCATTGCGAGTATAGGACAGAATAAGCCGGACGCCCGATTCCGCCGCCAATCCAAGCCCCCTTCTACCTTCCTCACCCTATGGCGCTTAGATTCGTTTGATAGAAATGCGTCCAAATTAAACTTAAAGTCTAATACTCCAATGATTTATAAACTTTAATAAGTTATTTAAAATTAGATTTTAACATTTTATTTGTATTTTTATGCACACTTAAAATACTACAGTCGCAAATTTCTTAAAAGTAAATTCTTATGTGACACATTAACCCTTTGTTGCACGGTGGTATACATGTCATACCACTTCGGTTTTTAATTTTTACAGCGCTGCCAATGTGATGAGCGGACTCAACTACTGAATCATTGGGTCCAGTATACCTCTGGTTATCATTGCTAAATGGTATGACCATTCATTTTTACAAAATGACATGGCTACAGCGTATTGTATGTCATGAAAACCCGGTATTTTAGGTTATGTCGGATCCGCATTGTTTTTCTTCGAGTCGTGTGTGAAAAATAGGTGTTATTTTTTAGATAAATGTGATTCTCTAATCTAACTAGCCGTAATTTACTAGGTGCATTTCAGTTTTTACTTGATTTTTCATTTTAGTCGATTTTCTGAGCTGAAATAAAGTGGTATGACAGTTATACCACCGCACACACAGCATTTTGTGGATAACTCAATTTTCTGTGCATTCTCGAGGAAATCTTTCTCCCCGTTTCAAGTTTTGATCCCAATGTCACTCGAGAACGACATTTCCTTGTCCTAAGCGTATTTCTCGGGTGAAGGGTGAAGCTACTACCTCTCAAATTCAGTCGCCATCTTGAATTTGGGGCACCCTCTTTGACCGGGGTTTTTTTATGACTGCATGCTTG